GATAATGATTGTAGTTGTAGAGTGAGTGTAGTTGTAGAGTGAGTATAGTTGGATAATGATTGTAGTTGTAGAGTGAGTAGTTGTAGAGTGAGTGTAGTTGTAAAGTGAGTGTAGTTGTAGAGTGAGTGTAGTTGTAGAGTGAGTGTAGTTGGATCATGATTGTAGTTGTAGAGTGAGTGTAGTTGTAGAGTGAGTATAGTTGGATAATGATTGTAGTTGTAGAGTGAGTGTAGTTGTAGAGTGAGTGTAGTTGGATAATGATTGTAGTTGTAGAGTGAGTGTAGTTGTAGAGTGATTGTAGTTGTAGAGTGAGTGTAGTTGGATAATGATTGTAGTTGTAGAGTGAGTGTAGTTGGATAATGATTGTAGTTGTAGAGTGATTGTAGCTGTAGAGTGAGTGTAGTTGGATAATGATTGTAGTTGTAGAGCGAGTGTAGTTGGATAATGATTGTAGTTGTAGAGTGAGTGTAGTTGTAGAGTGAGTGTAGTTGTAGAGTGAGTGTAGTTGGATAATGATTGTAGTTGTAGAGCGAGTGTAGTTGTAGAGTGATTGTAGTTGTAGAGTGAGTGTAGTTGGATAATGATTGTAGTTGTAGAGCGAGTGTAGTTGTAGAGTGATTGTAGTTGTAGAGTGAGTGTAGTTGGATAATGATTGTAGTTGTAGAGCGAGTGTAGTTGTAGAGTGATTGTAGTTGTAGAGTGAGTGTAGTTGGATAATGATTGTAGTTGTAGAGCGAGTGTAGTTGGATAATGATTGTAGTTGTAGAGCGAGTGTAGTTGTAGAGTGATTGTAGTTGTAGAGTGAGTGTAGTTGGATAATGATTGTAGTTGTAGAGCGAGTGTAGTTGTAAAGTGAGTGTAGTTGTAGAGCGAGTGTAGTTGGATAATGATTGTAGTTGTAGAGCGAGTGTAGTTGTAAAGTGAGTGTAGTTGTAGAGCGAGTGTAGTTGGATAATGATTGTAGTTGTAGAGCGAGTGTAGTTGTAGAGTGATTGTAGTTGTAGAGTGAGTGTAGTTGGATAATGATTGTAGTTGTAGAGCGAGTGTAGTTGGATAATGATTGTAGTTGTAGAGTGAGTGTAGTTGTAAAGTGAGTGTAGTTGTAGAGTGAGTGTAGCTGGATAATGATTGTAGTTGTAGAGCGAGTGTAGTTGTAGAGTGATTGTAGTTGTAGAGTGAGTGTAGTTGATAATGATTGTAGTTGTAGAGCGAGTGTAGTTGGATAATGATTGTAGTTGTAGAGTGAGTGTAGTTGTAGAGTGAGTGTAGTTGTAGAGTGAGTGTAGCTGGATAATGATTGTAGTTGTAGAGTGAGTGTAGTTGTAGAGTGAGTGCAGTTGTAGAGTGAGTGTAGTTGGATAATGATTGTAGTTGTAGAGCGAGCGTAGTTGGATAATGATTGTAGTTGTAGCGTGAGTGTAGTTGTAGAGTGATTGTAGTTGTAAAGTGAGTGTAGTTGTAGAGTGAGTGTAGTTGTAGAGTGAGTGTAGTTGGATAATGATTGTAGTTGTAGAGCGAGTGTAGTTGTAGAGCGAGTGTAGTTGTAGAGTGATTGTAGTTGTAAAGTGAGTGTAGTTGTAGAGTGAGTGTAGTTGTAAAGTGAGTGTAGTTGTAGAGTGAGTGTAGTTGTAGAGCGAGTGTAGTTGTAAAGCGAGTGTAGTTGTAGAGTGAGTGTAGTTGTAGAGCGAGTGTAGTTGTAGAGTGAGTGTAGTTGTAAAGTGAGTGTAGTTGTAGAGCGAGTGTAGTTGTAGAGTGAGTGTAGTTGTAGAGTGAGTAGTTGTAAAGTGAGTGTAGTTGTAGAGTGAGTGTAGTTGTAGAGTGAGTAGTTGTAAAGTGAGTGTAGTTGTAGAGTGAGTGTAGTTGTAGAGTGAGTAGTTGTAAGTGAGTGTAGTTGTAGAGTGAGTGTAGTTGTAGAGTGAGTGTAGTTGTAAAGTGAGTGTAGTTGTAGAGTGAGTGTAGTTGTAAAGTGAGTGTAGTTGTAGAGTGAGTGTAGTTGTAAAGTGAGTGTAGTTGTAGAGTGAGTGTAGTTGTAGAGTGAGTGTAGTTGTAGAGTGAGTGTAGTTGTAGAGTGAGTGTAGTTGTAAGTGAGTGTAGTTGTAGAAGTGAGTGTAGTTTAGGTGGTTCTAGTCGTGTAAAGTGCAGTTCTTCACTCACTTGTGGCATTGCTCTCTGACCCACAGCAGCAGAGCTTTCTTGGCAGAGATGCGGAAGCGTGTGTGTAGCGGTGAGCCGCGGGGTGGCACCGGGCTGCTGCGGGCACTGCTGCTGGTCGAACGAGTGTCCAGACTGGCCAGTGACTCCAGAGAGGACTGCCGAGAACTGAAGGACAACGTGCTTGCCAGCTCTTCTATCTGAACATGGAACAAGAACACACTGAGCCACAAGAACATGTTGCATGATTTACCACCAACTCACCTCAACTGCTACTAATTCTAGACATTTAATGTAGAAACCTTTTGATCTTTTGATTAGTTTTTTTTTTTAGCTGTAATAGATCTTTTTTCACTGTTATTCACTGAAAGTTAGATGAAAATATGAAAGAATTTTAACATTGACATGTATTTCAACCACAGCATTAAATGTTCATAATGTTTTAGACACTTGGCAAAAGGGTTCTATATAGTACCAAATAAAGGATCTTTGACTAAGTATCATTTTTGGTGCTATATAGAACCGTTCTTTAAACAACCATATACAACAGATTCTCCATCATCGAGAACCATGCAAGGAACCATTCAAATATTAAAATCGTTCTTTAAGTTGTCACTATTCTAGATATAACCATTTCCTTCCCTAAAGAACCTATGCAGAACCAGCTTTATGATGCAAAGCACTTTATTGAACTGGCTTCACTCACTCTACACTCACTCACTCACTCATGTTTAGCAGGCTGAAGATTCATTTAACTGGCTTTTAATGCTTTGTATGCGCATGGTGATAAGCTGCACACTCTTGAAAATGCTATGGTTCTTCAAGAGTTCTTTAATAAAAGGACTAGTTCTATTTAGACGTTCCATATAGAACCATTTCATGCTTAAATGATCCTTTGCATGGTGAAATGGTTCATCAGATTGATGGAAAATGTGCTGTATATGGTTCTATGTAGAACCTTTGTGAAAAGGGTTCTTTATAGCACCAGATATGGTTCTTCTATTTTTACATCGTTGACATCGAGTGCAGAGAGCAGTGATGATAAATCAGCATTAAATTTAGTTGCATTGCGGAAGCATAACGCTGTTACATCAAGTTGCACTTGTGCTTGTACGTATATCTGGCCCTAAGTGACCCTGTTAGGAAGGTGTACAAACTTATTCCTGGTCTTCTTGTAAATATGATGACATGAAATTCTAAATAATGTTTAAGGAGTTCCTCCTTCTTCCTTCTTCCATCAATGACCTCATTCTCAGTGGCACTGATTTAAGAGATAATCTGTTATGTTTTAATTTGTTACATCCTTATTTTTTAATGTATTATTCGTTTTAATTTGCTGAAACCTTTAGAAATATAGAGTTATTATCACTTTGCTGTGCTATTTCAATGTGATTACATAGTGATTAATTGCATTGTTAGTTACATAATGAACTGCATTTACATTGGATTTCGTTTCTGTATTGAAAGGTTTGAAGATTTTACAAAGTAACTTTTCCTTCAAATTCAAATCATAATAAAATATCTTCTCTTCTTTTATCAAACACAAATGTGATATGGACAGAAAGTTCAGAATCTGCACTTTCCACACAATTTCTCTACTCCTTTCAAGTTATTGCAGTTTTGTTACTGTTATTCTAGCTGAGGTTGAGAAGGCCATTAATTGTTTAGTAGATTGATGATAATGAACAGTGGACTCACATGGAAGTGCATGATGATGGTCCATATCAGTCCCAGGATGATGGAGGGTTTGCCATCCATGATGTCAGGAACGTTGATGTTGACCAGCTTGATCTGTAGGAGGACAAAGACTGAGACTAGTGCCTGAAATATCCTGCATTACTATTCTAATGCTGTTCTAATGCTGCTGTCCAGGCCAGTTATTAATCATTACTCATCATGCAGAGAGTGAGTGTTATGGGCGTGTCTTACAGATTTCCTCTTGAGGAAGGCCAGGCTTTCTCTATGTGTGCTCTGTGCTGGAACATCCCTTTGCCTTTCTCCCGACTCTGAAACAGACCCAAAACGATAAGCAATAAATACCTGCACAAGCGTAGAAAACCCCAGTGCAGATTACAAGATATCTTTTAAGACTTCTAAGAGAAGCAACTGTCTAAGCATTAACCTGGATGGGCACTGATCCGGATCCACAATCATTTGCAGTAGTTTTAATATTAATACCTGAATAATAAAAGTGCAATGAAAAGTGTAATGAGGTTAAACCAGGGGTCAGCAACTCTGGAGCCGCATGCGACTCTTTCACTGCCCTGTTGTGGCTCCACAGCTGAATTAGATTTGTAGGTAAAAATAAAATAATCCTCCTTTACAGTAAAATAAAGCTCTGCTGATCGTTCAACACAGTTTAACAATAAATGGTCTTAAACTCTGCAGTTAATGTAGAACTGCTAATTCACCCTTTAACCCTGAAGGTTAGTGCACAGACTGCTGGTCACCATAGCAACACAGACAACAGTCTCACCTAGCTAGTAGGTAACGAAAAGGCAAAGAGAAAGATTTAAAGAAGTCAGCTTCTCATTCGCCTTCTTCTTCGAATTTTCCTGTTCTACTTTAAATGGTGCAGCAGTCACATTCTGATGCCTCAGGTACCATTTAAGGTGGAACAGGAAAATTCGAACAAGAATCTGGCGATTGAGGAGCTGACTACCGCCTCGTAAAAAAACGAACGTTGAGAGACATTTTATAAGAAAACTGCTCTCCTTTTGCGGAAAAGTTTCCTGCTGAAGATGCGAGAAAAGCGGCTATAGCTGAGCTAAAGCTGAAAGCAGAGCAAACTAAGTCTGTGTTTTTGTTTATATTATATTTTTTAGCCTATACTGGCACATTAACACATACTGAGACATATTTACATAAAAATGGACATAAAATGTGTTAAACTTTAAATGTTTTTTATTTCTGTACCTTTTAGAACAAAGTTGCTGAAAGATGAATGTCGCACTAAAGAAATATTTGATTGAAGTGAATGTGTCAATCATAACAACGTGAAGATATTAAGAAATAATAAAATATGAAACTTTCAGCATCTAGCAAAAACCTTAGCATCCCAAATTTTACACATTCATGCTGCGACACAGGTGTTTACATGTAGAACTCAATAGTACAATCAACTTCTGCTACACTGCAGCTTTTTCCATGAAACCGTCCAGTTCATATTAGTACAAGTCATGCCCACTCATGAGAACACACTGTCCATCTTCTACTGGCTCTCTCCACAGCTCATCTCCTTGTTCTTTCCCCCACTTATCTGAAAGGTCAATGCATGACTGAACATGAAGCTGTAGCTCAGCACAGTCCACCGTTTCAGTCCTTATTTAGAGTGAATGTTGTTTTTGATGCAGGGAACAAGCTCACCATCCTTTGTCCACACATGACCTCCAGCAGGTCCAGCAGTCTGGATCCATCTCTGAAATCGTTGAACAGGTCCAGCACGGTCACCGGAGGCCTCCGCTAAAACAGGACGAAATACATGCAGTTAAATTAAACAAAACAGGATGGTACACTTCACTACTACGTTAAAGTGTTATGCATTAAAGTGATACAGAATTTGCCCCTCAGTCCAAATAACATCATCAGTCAGTCGAGACATGTTTGGTGTCTGAAGTTTGCTTCTTTAGTTTAGCACTGGAGCTACAAGGCTGACAAGAAATGGAAGTGTAACCCACTTAAAGTGAAGGTTTATTTTCATTTCATGTTTGTGCTGCACTTAAGGTATAATTGTTGCAGTTCTTGAAATTTCCTGTAGAGGGTTTATGCTTTAAGATAGTCTGAGCCACCTGGGAGAACCGGTCCAAACCAGTTTTTGGAAAGAAAAAAAAACAACGAACGAAACCACTTGCAGCTTAGCTTTGAATTTAGCTACTACTCTTAACAGCATTGAATTTATTGACCTAGAGTACGAATTTACAGATATTAAGACTAGAACTGAGCCATATTTTACTTTTTTCACTCTATAAAGGTGAAATTATCCATCAGTGTCTTTTGCTGTCGATTATTTCCCCTTTTAATGAGCAACTCCGGTGAGTTAAACTCATCTTTTCTCATGCTGGTCAGTGTGAGTTAGCATGTCATGCTGCTGACTATAAAAGAGTAGGGTGAAAACTGTTCAAACGGGTTATTATTAGAAAGCAAGAAAGAAAAAAAAGCCAGTTGGAGTTGTGATTGTACTATGTTTTGGTTTTGTAAATGATTTCAGATTAATGTTTTATAAGTATTCTTTGGAGAGCAGAATGGAAGCTCTCAGATTTGTTAAGAGCAAACTACGTAGTTAAATTTGTCTGTACTGTAATTCGACGCCTAACGTACAAATTTACCAAAGGAATTGAAGATTTTCAGCTGTAAGGTCTTTAGAATTGATAATGAAGTAATTCGTAAGATGTTCATAGTAGAATGTTGAATAAGTGAGGCATTTTTTTACTGTATAGAAGCAAATTGTTCGTGTTATGTAGTGAATCTACATAAGAATTACTTGTTGAGAAGTTGAGTAGTAATGGTTGTATTTTTTTTATGTAGATTGTTTTTTTTTTCTTGCATTGAGTTTGGATCTTTCAAGCACGCACGCATGTCAGACTGTGAGTGAGACCAGAACGGCGAGCCAGGACCACGTGTTGAAAGCCGTCTGCCTGCGTGTTGTTCCTTCACGGAACAGGAGAAACAGATAAGCTTTTCTTTACGAACGGATTGAGATCCATCCCCAAGAAAAGGAAAGAAAAGAAGCGGCATACGCGCATATTCACATAAAAGCTGCATAGCAGTCTTGAGCTTCAGATTTAAATTCAGAGACAGTGAACCTGAAGAGCTCTTAAGTTTTTTTTTGGGCCCATTTTAATTTTTTTTTTGTCCTTTGTGTAAATGACTATTGAGCTAACAATATATTCATTGTTGTTATTTTTCTTCCAAGCCTTTGTCGCATCTCATTCTTTCCATCCTCCTTGTTTCGAACCTAGCAAACATGACTAAAGTGGATTTCTCCATACCAGTGAGAGGGTTACAGAAGCATGTATGTCACCAAGTAGCGTTGTGCTAACTTAATAGCTCCAGTTTAACAGACTTTAACAGGTTGCCTAATTGTAAACAGTAACAACACAAAAGTGAACATATTTATATGAGATTATTTCATACTCGTTAGTGTAGTGCTGCACACTGATTTGCAGTGTAGATAACTGGTGGTTGGCAGACTTGTGTGTAGCTGCTGCTAGCCACAGAGCTAACATCACAGCTGACAAGCTGGCTAACTTGTCTAAAACAAACTGTAAAACCACAAATGTAATGATAATAATGAAAGACCTCCCGACTGACTGTGTTTCATGCAATCTCTCTTGCATGTGATTATTTATAGACAGTGGGAAAGAAATGGTTAAAGGTTGGTGCGTATTCACTGCCAAAGTTAGCGCCTCCTCCATTTTTGAGGTTTAGTGCTATGAAGGGCTGCCACTTCAGAGGTCAACACAGCCAAATCAGTAGTGCAATTGGTCAAGGATGCCAATTCATGTGTCAAAGTTCTCCAAAATTGAACTCAACTCAAAGCATGGAAACTTTATTTGGCCTGGAAGTCTGGGAGGCAAAGTTGGCAGCGTACTCTGTCAGAAATAAAGGTTCTGTGCAGGTACATTTTACTGTTATCAAGGTACAAACAATGTAAATGTTCCTTCAAAGGTACAACAGTGGTTTTAAGGTCCAACTAGAAGACGTACCTTTGAGGGTACCACACCAGTGACAAGAATGGGACCACCCCAATTACTTTTTTTCTGAAAATGTGCTTTGAAAAAACTACACAAAACCAAACTACTATTCGAATATACTGTTGTAGAAGCCTGCTTCATCCAGTGAACCAATCACAGTCATGGGGGAGGTCTTAGAGCCAATGACAGGCGAGTAGGAGTTCTGTTTAGTAACTCTTTAGAACACCACACAAACTCTAACCAACTCATTTAAAGTTTACTGCTGGCTTAATCATCACACTCAGACTGTGTGAAGTTGTTTGGTAATCTCTAATAGATTTGCTTATGCAGTTTCTGACACTATATAACGCCATAAAAATGGACAAATTCATATCACATAGCTAAAAACAGTAGCAACAACTAAGAAGCCTGAATTTTAACTGTACACACTTAAAAAACATGGTTCTTCAAGTGTTCTTTCATAAAGAAAATGGTTCTATACAGAACCATGAACACCCAAAGAACCCTTTGCATGATTAAAGGGTTCTCTGCATCGTGAAAGCGTTCTTCAGATCATTTAATATGGTTCTATGGAGAACCTTTTTGAAAATGTTTCTATGTAGCACCAAAAAGAGTTTTACTATTACTACAAGCTGGTAGATGGTAACAATAGAAGAACCCTTTTTGTTGCTATATAGAACCCTTTCATGATGCAAAGAACCCTTTAATCATGCAAAGCGTTTCTTTGAGTGTTCATGGCTCTATATAGAACCATTTTCTTTACTAAAGAACCTTTGAAGAACCATGATTTTTAAGTGATTTTGATACATCATCACTCTTGTTTGTGAATAACACCAGTGCAAAACTGAAGAAGCAAACTACTGAGACCAAACATGTCTGAGTGACCACATTCAATCATGGTAAAAGGGGCAAAACGTGTATGATTTTATTTATCCAAACTGTCCTTTAAACCTCAGAAGAAATGACCAGTGTGTGCATGTTAGCCTAAGTTCCATTCTTTTGTTTATTTGTGCACCCATAAGCAGCTGGACAAACAATGGATTAAAAAGTGGATGATGAAAAGTGGGTAAAGTGTTAGACGGGCCCATTTGGCTTCAATACACACCTACTGGAAAGTAATGGTGTCAGCCAGGGTCTGTGTGAGTGTGTGGGTGACCATAGCCTTAATAAAACTTGAGAATTTTGACAATTCTGCAGGTTAATTTTCAGTGGTGGACAGTAACGAAGTAAATGTAATTCGTTACTGTACTTAAGTACTTTTTTGTGTATCTGTACTTTACTGAAGTCTTTCCATTTTGGGTGACTTTTTACTTTCACTCCACTACATTTCATAGTCAAATATCTCACTTTTCACTCCACTACATTATGAGAAATCTGTCGTTCCTTTTGGTTTATGTGTGTATAAAAATGTAACATGTCAAAACGAAAGAAGCGCAAAGCAGAAACACCAATCAGGGCACAGCGGTCACTTTGTTTTGAGCTTGTTTTGACCTGTTGGTCATACCGACCCAGTGCAGCACACGGTTCAACATCAGTGCAGCAGCGTAAAATTTTGGGAGAGTCTATTCAACATAAATGATGAACTAACCTAACTTTGTGTAAATAGACCACAATATAGAAATATGTACACATATGCAGTTGTGACTGACGTGTCTTTTTCTGAATTTATACAAACACTATTTCATTTTATAGTAAATTAGTTTTTGCTAGTTTATGTTTATGAACAGAGACCTACAGATGCAGTTTAGTAAAGGAAACTCATTTGTGAATCTGAGTTTAAAGTTTTTATTAAACTTAAACTTGTAACTAAGTTCAAATAAATCTTAAACTGAAACTTTGCTTGTTTGTAAAAAGTGATTTCAGAGCCACTCAGTTCTACCTGATGGAAACTGTTTGCCTTCAGTGTTTTGTGCTTATGATAATTTTAATAGACATCAGCGTCACTAATTAATGACTCTATTAAAAGACTGGTTTACCAAGAGTGACACTGCAGTATTTTCACCTATAATGAGTTAATGAAGCGAGTCTTGTTACAAAAATGATAACAGGGCATTAAAGTCATAATTAATCTTTTAGTGCTTTTACTTTCGATACTTAAGTACATTTGTAGGCAAATACTTCTGTACTTTTACTCAAGTGGAGGTCTAAAGGGAGGAACTTCTACTTTTAGTGCAGTAATATTTTACCTGTGTATCTCTACTTTAACTCAGGTATATGGTTTGTGTACTTCGTCCACCACTGTTCATGTTATTATGTGCTACAGCTTAATTGGTCATTATGTGACCTATAACATCTACAGCTCCACTCATCTTTCTGGAAACATCTAAAATTTCTACTAATGATTTGAAACATTGCCTCATAATACTATTTCACTATAATCAATTTAGTTTTGTATTATGTACAGCAGTGATTCCAAAGCTTTGAATGGTAGTATAGATACTGCAGTGTTTATCTACAGGGGTCAATGGAAAATGTCCATTAGTGTGTGTGTGTGTGTGTGTGTGTGTGTGTGTGAGTGAGTGAGTGTCTAACTCCTGTTGCTGTCTATCTCTGGTCTTTCAGTAGGTTATATTTACTCCCTCCCCTCCCCCACTCCCCAATGGCCAGCATGCAGGAATGCCCTTTACTTAGAGAGCAGTGAACAACCCTTTATATTCAATGCTATATGACTGTCGTACTACTCAATAGAGAAAAGCTTTGCTTAAGTAATATTCTAAGAGGACTTAAGGTCTGTTTCTACCCAGACAGAGAATGAATATAGCCAAGAAACATGCAATAAGCTTCACATTCATAATTTACAGTCTGTAGTCACTACATTAATTAATAACATTGACGACACACAGCTTCACAGTGTTGCAGTGGTAGGCGAATGCAGCATTAGGAGTCTTACCCAAGGACTCTTATTGGTATAGTCTGGTATGGTTGCCTGGGCAGGGAATCGAACCCCTATCCCCTACATAGAGAGCATTAAGCAATGAAGTTTAGCTTCCTGCACATTTAAACTTTGACCCTTTGACCTCACCTTTGAGAGCTGGGCATTCACCCAGTTAGTGAAGGTTCTCTTCTGAATCTGTTCCTGTTCCACTGTGGGAGAGAAAAAACAGGTTTTAATTCAAAGAGCAGCAAAGAAAAACATATAACGTCAATTGGAATTACCTACACTGGCATTCGGGATGGACTTGGATGGAAACATGTTCCACTGAAGTGTCTATTTAAAACTGAAAGGTACTGAATGAGAAAGTGTGCATATCGCTAGTCACTCTGCACGTCGTCACTGCCGGAACAAAACTATCCACAATGGCTACTTTTCAAGAGAAAATGTTTAATTTACATTTACGGCATTTGGCAGACACTCTTATCCAGAGCGACTTACAATGTGATAACTTCACACAGGCAGGTGAAGGTAGTGTTGGGAGTCTTGCCCAAGGACTCTTATTGGTATAGTGTAGGGTGCTGACCCAGGCAGGGAATCGAACCCCAGTCTACAGCAAAGAAGAGGTGCTACCCACTACACTATACCAGCCATCGATGTAAATCAATGTAAATTAACATACGAGGGTTTTATTTTAAGTCATTTTGGATCATTTTTGTTGGTCTGTTCATAATGAAGTTTTGTAATAATGTAAGAGTCAACTAACATTAATTATGTGAAAAACTTTAAAATGACAAAATTTAGATTATGCTCTGATAGCAATGGAATTAAGGATATGAAGTCATTATATTATTTGCAAGTGATAATAGCCATAAAATATAATATAACAATAACAATTCTGACTGATATCAAAAAAATGTGCAAATAGCTGTCATTATATAAATATATATATATATATAAATGAATTTTGACTTGACTTTGACTATATATATATATATGTATATATATATATATATATATATATATATATATATATCGAGCAATTAATTAATGAGTTTTATTCTTACACAATCCAAAATAATATATATTTTTAAATGGACGTAACCCTCAGGGTCTGTAGACAAGTAGTTGAATATAAAATATGCATTATCATCATTCAAACTGCCAACTAATAATGAATGAATGATAAATTAAGATTCAAGATTGCTTGAGTAAATGTAACAACCCTGGTATGCGTGCAATATAACAATGACTTATTCTACTTAAAATTCTAGTTATTAACTATATAATTAAGTACATAAGTTCTTGCTGTTTCCTCAAAATGTCAGTGTTTCATCCATTACTGTCCAAGTGCATTCACTCATTCATTCACGTAAACACATACATCAGACCTCAATATTACCATCATAAAGTTCCGCAAAATCATTCAGGTCCTCAGCCATGTGCAGCGTCTCCGTCTTACTTTCATCACTTTCCTTCCTTCCAAAATCTTCTTCCTTTACAATCTTAGCCATGATTCACCTGCCTGTTTCCAGCCTTCTCACAAACCAGATCCTAGAAACCTTCTTCAGGAAGTTCCATTGTTGTCCAACCTCAAGTCCAACCGGTTCCTCAAGATCAGTCTTCTTCTAACAACACCAATACAAACCCTCGCTCTGCGCTCTTCTCTAAGAAAGTAAGGTTCAAACCTAAAGACCCACCTCCACACCTAATGGTGGCCTGCCACCTCTCTGACTCTGCCAAACTGAGAGAACTTTAAAAGCACCCTATCACTCTCCTGCTGCTATACATGATCACCCTGACTATGAATAAGACTCCGTGGACGTTATCAGGGGACTTCAAGTAGGTGCCACTCATGGCAGGCTGAGCCATGACGTGATAGTGCGAGTGGTTTAGCAGCAGACCAGACCCTCTTCTGTTACCCTTCTTTTACTGCAAGCTGGCAGCGGAAGAAGCCTCAACATTTCAAACACAGTTCTTCAGCCCTGGCACTTCATCTGAATATGATACATTATGTTTCTGATTATATAAATATATCGCTGCTGTCAGAACAAACCCTCATATCTCCACAGTGATAACTTTACAGGAGAAGGAAAAAACATACTTTACTTTTAATGTAAGTCAATGGAACCAGAATTTTTTCATTTCATTTCTTTTAGTCCATTCATCATGAAATTTACACACAATGTAAAGATCAACAGGCTTTTTCAAATTATGTCAAAAACTGAAAAACGACAAAAATGGAAATACGAGGTTCTGTTCCGACAGCAGCGATATATGAATGTGTGTGTGTGTGTGTGTGTGTGTGTGTGTGTGTGTGTGTGTGTGTTGGGTAATCCACTTGGCACTACTGACAGCTGTGCAAGACCTGGTAGATCATCAAAACCAGATAAACAGTACACTCTCTGAAAAGATGAGTCTTCAATGGTTCTTTAATAAAGAAAATGATTCTATATAGAACCTTGAAAGAATCCTTTGCATGATTCAAAGCATTCTTCAGATTGATGGAGAATATACTGTGTATGGTTCTATTTTGAACATTTTTGAAAAGGGTTCTATGTGGCATCAAAAAGGGTTCTTCTGTTGTGAAAAGCTTGACATCATTACTATAGAATAACTCTTTTTGGTGCTGTAGAACCATATATAACACATTCTGCATCAATCTGAAGAACCATCTCTACATGCAAAAAACCATTTAATGCAAAGGGTTCTTTGAGTGTTTCGGGTTCCTGTACTAAAGAACCATCTTTTTTCTTTCACGAAAATGAGAATGCAACCAACGTCTAAGACTGAACTTTGGAGGTGTGGAGAATTATTATGACACTGAAATATGATTAACTTAACCTTAATGACCTTTTTGACGGGAATGACACAAACAGGTGGTTTCTGACAATGAACACGGATCTTTCAGTAGGAATACGCTTCTAATTAGCTAAGCAAACTTTGTAATAAAAATAGCAAAAAAAAGTGTGGAATAAATATACTTTGCTAATAATTGCTCTGACAGGTTTAAGCGTGGTGCAGTGCCCTTTATTTATTGTTGTTGCCATAGATATACATACCTAGATGCCGCATTGGGTCCAGCCAGGCATGTCAACGGCGCCGCCATTTTGGGGCGGTCAACATTACTGCTGGACTGCATTCAGTACCATTACAGAGTGGCAGTTTAAGAAAGATACTGTCCGAAATTACACTATTTAAAGAACATTACACTCAGAAAGCGGGACAGGATTATATAACGGAGGGAACGCAGTGATCCACACTCATGTTTGTGTGATGCGTATTGTTTGTGTGATGCGTATGTATAGATATGGCCGTGTGGTTAATGAGGCACAGAGAACCTGTTGATGTGATTGTTTTTCCTCTGGTTTTATATTAAGCTTATTTCATTTAATAGTCTATTCAGGGGGTCTTAACTTTATGTAATAGTTATTTATTTGCAATGATGGTTAAAGTTTTGTAGCGGTTAGTTATAGCATTCCTTAATCCATGTAGATATTTGTAATAGATTAACGTTAGCACCTTCTTACATGAAGCTGAATTAGCTTCTTATTTGCCAGCTTCTTGTTCGAATTTGCTCGTTCCACCTTAAATGGTGCATCAGCCAACTCCTTGTTCAAATTTTTCCTGTTCCACCTTAAATGCTGCTGCTTCAGGCACCAGAAAGTGACTGCTGCACCATTTAAGGTGGAACAGGAAAACTTGAACACAAAGTGGGCAAATAGGGAGCCAACTTTAGCTTCATCCTTCATGCTGTGTTTTGGGGGGTTTATTTTATTGTTATGTGTATTAAGATTAGAACTGATTCACACATTGATGGATTTGCTGATGTGTGTGTTTCTACCGGAGCCCTAAACCCATCAGTTACAGACACGATCAGTTATTAAAGAAATAAAAGCTACCGAGAGCAGATCTGTATAGCCTAGATTAATCTGTGTCTGAGGATTATAATAACTAAATTTGGTGAAAATCGGTTGAGTAATAATGAAGTTGTGGCCGATCTAATCCTGAGACTCATCGTCTCTCAGTACAAGTGAATTTGTTCACAAGCGGATCTTGACTTCTCCAACATGGCGGACACGCAGACGTATCGCCTTAGATAGAGAACAACAGACAACACGGCATCCAGGTATGAATATCTATGGTTGTTGCTTGCTAACTAGCAAACTGGCAGAGGAAAGTAAAATTGACATAGGCACAGTATAACAGACAGACTAGGTTACTCTATTTTGAACGCAGCAAATCAAACATCATAGTTTTGAAATATGAAGTAATGAATGAAATGTAAATTGCGTTAAATAGCTACTGAAACGTTCTGCACCTGAAGCCTATACCTGTACTGACTCGATGCCTTGCTGCTCCAAGGTGTCTCTTGAGTTAATACCATAATAAAACAGCACTTAAGATAGCATCGGGGATTCCCCCAAGAGGATCTGGTGAGGGGGAGTTGACGAGGGCAAATGAAGGATCCTAGTAACATAGGAATGACCTCGTACCAGCACGCTGTTAGCATGCTAAATGCTTTGCAGTGGACGAAAAAAAAAATGTCACCAACACTGGCTTGGCACTGGATCTTTTAGTCAAGGAGGTGTCATGAGTTATCATCCTCACCATTTAAGACTCTGTTGACCTACGCAATGGACAGAAACATCAAGGCTTTTAAAAGCCTTGGCTCAAGCTCTGCTAGCTCATGTTAGCCAGCAGGCTCATGTCCAAATGGCTCAGTCATGAGAACATGGACAGAAAGAAGACACAAAAAATACAGGACACTGCTGCCTCTGTAGACCTAGACATACTATAATGTTCACTGGGATTATTCTGTGACTGTTTGTTGCAAATAAAAACAGAATTGTGAGAAAGTGGGTATTTCAATAAGTAGAAACTGTACAGTAAACTAATCAAGCAGGCGTTACGCTGGACAGCACTATCACAGCACATTTCCACTGGTACAAATGCAAAGGAATTTGATGCAATAGGCCTAGTACTACAGTGATGTCCATAAGTAATTGGACAATAAGTTTGGCTGTGTATTTAAGAATGTTAAATTGTAAACCAAAATTGGCTAAAATGCCAAATCTTAGCATTGATTTAAAGTATTTTCATTTCTACATTGTGGGTGAAGCGTTAAAAAATCACAATGCATTTCATACGTAGACCTTTCTTTTCACAGGGCCATAAGTAATTGGACAACTGGCTGCTCAGTTGTTCTCAGCCAGCTGTGCATCACTGCATCATTAGTTTGTACAGCAGAGCTAATAAAGGTCTAGAGTTCAAACTGGTCCTCAGAGCAAAAATGTGGACCATCTGGAGAACCAGTTTAACCCCTTCAATGGTCAGGGCCCAGCAGTAGGCCCAATGTTTAATTACACACTTCTACAACCTAAGAATGTCACTGAGTGCATTTACATACACTTAATAATCCGCTACCAGCAGAAAATCAGATTTTGTCAGTAACCTGATCAACGTGTTTACATGCACTTGAGTAGTCAGATAATGTGAAAACTCCGGGTCTACATGAGTCAGACAGTAATCAGATTTCTGCTTTGCACCCAGCCAATAAACTCACAGAAGAAGACATGACATAAGCATAATGTAAAACTCAGACTTCATGGCACAGCTTTTTTGTAAACATCGCACCACTTTACCTGAAAATATGAACATACATCATCTAGAAGAGAAGAATATTTAAATGCTTCATTTCGTCAAGTATGTAGTTGGTTTCAGCGCCGCTCCTAAAGTGTTTTGCTGCGTCTCGTGACGACACTGTTCGCTTATTTCTAGTACCGCCGTCTGTTTTCTGAAAAAAGCAAAGACTGGGAAATCTGAAAGAAATCAGAGTAAGAGTTTACATGCACTGGGAAAATCTGATTACTAAGCTGAAATTCAGCTCTCTTTATCAGATTTCAGATGCTGTTTACATGACTGTTTAAATCTGATTACTACGATGAAATTCAGCTCTCTTTATCAGATTTCAGATGCTGTTTACATGACTGTTTAAATAATCACATGACTGCAGAAATCCTAGTATGATCGGATTGTTAAGTGCGTGTAAACACACTCACTGTAGTTACTGAAAATAAGCCTCAGTATGTAATAAGCCTGAGATTTTAAGGGGTTAAAGACCACAGCCTGAAGAGGGTTTATCACAAAACAGGAACTGCAAGTAAGCCTCAGAAGCAGAATGACCGGATTACAGTTCACTAAACTGGATTACAACCTGCAGAATTCTGGAACAAAGTCTGATAGACAAATGAAATTCATCTTAACCTGCACCGGAGAGATGGAATGAAGTGTATGGAGAAAAAGAAAATCCTCGTGATCTAAAGCAAACTAGGAATACTGACTGAGTCACTCCTCTTTATTGATGATGTGACTGAGGGATGAATTATAAGTGAACAGAACTGATCAGATCCAACCAAACGCCACCAAACAGAGTGGACAGAGCTTCGCCTTGCAGCAGGGCAGTGAACTGAAAAAGATTTCAGGGCCAAGAAGTGCAATATTTTTGACAAGCATTTCATTTATGGAAGACAAGACTGAAGGCAAAAAGTGTCTAAAACAAGAAAGAACTTGCAGAACATCATCGGTGGAGGCACCCAGCATCTGGTGATCTGGTGAGTCCAGGTAATCATGGATTTGCAACTAAACATCTAGATTATTCCTCATTCTACACACATTTAAGGGCACAAAGGTGGTTAAGGTGGATTCTGTGTTATGAATCTGAAGTAGACCTTTCTCAAGAACACATTTAAGAAAATCTTAGGAAGATATTGCTGAATGAGGC